GATGTGGAGAGCTTTATCTGCTCAGACTGACCACTGTGATGTGGGAGAGCTGAGGACCGATCGGGGTCAGGCATCTCTGCCCAGGGATTGGGAAAGAGATCCTGTGGGAACCTGCCCCACGAGCTCACTGCAGAGGGCTGGGGGCAGGCGGGTGAGCTCCAGGGTGTCGTGAGGGTTCCAGAGCCGGGAGAGGCACTGCGGGTTTCTGGTGCCTCCGAGGGCTGGTGCATGGCTGCTCTCCCCAGGTCCAGTTGGTTCCATGTCCCTGCGACTGGTGGGTGGAGGGAGCCGGTGCGACGGGCGAGTGGAGATCTTCCAGCACGGGATGTGGGGCAGAGTCCTGGATAACCGGTGGGACGTGCGGGAGGCCAGTGTGGTGTGCCGGCAGCTGCGGTGCGGAGGGGCAGAAACAGCCTACAACCCCCCAAAGTCTCGGAGAGGGCTGGGGCCCGTGGGGCTGCAAGGAGTCCGGTGCACGGGGCATGAGGCCAACCTGACCCTCTGCAAAACCTCCCTGCCTGAGAGTGCGCTGGCGGCAAGGATTGCGGAGGACGTGGGGGTCGTTTGTCAGGGTGAGTGGTACTGCACAGGCCCCCCAGGCTCTGGGCTGGGCGGGCAGCCAGCCCCGGAGGGCAGCTGGGGGTTCTTCCTGCTGCAGGGAGCCGGCGGGTCCGGCTGATGGATGGGCCTGGGCGCTGTGCTGGGAGAGTGGAGATCTACTACCAGGGCAGCTGGGGGACCGTCTGTGACGATGGCTGGGACCTGCCTGATGCTGCCGTTGTTTGCCACCAGCTGGGCTGCGGAGGGGCCCTGGAGGCGGTTGGCTGCGCTCGCTTTGGGCAAGGCTCTGGTCAGATCTGGCTGGACAGCGTGAACTGCTCTGGGGCCGAAGCTGCCCTCTGGGACTGCCCGGCGGGGTCCTGGGGGCAGCACGACTGCAGGCACAAAGAGGATGCAGGAGTTGTCTGCTCAGGTCTGTGCTGGGAGCTATGGTGGGAGTCCTGGAGACACCCATGCACGGGTCCCCTCAGTCTCACCCGGGGTCCCTGAGCTCAGCTGTCCCTGAGGGTTACTGGGGAGGGCAGGGTTGTATGTCCAGCAGGGACTTTGCCCATGGGTGCAGGGGGGACTTGCTGGCTGTGCCTTTGCCTGACTGGGGGCCTGGGCGGTCAGGGGCATCCCTGTTCCCACAGCCCTGGGCCAGCTTGTTCCCCTTTGGGGCCTTTCCTCACAGAGTTCGTGGCCCTGAGGCTGAAGAACAGTGACGGCTGCTCCGGGCACCTGCAGGTTTTCTACAATGGCACATGGGGGAGTGTTTGCTCCAACTCAATGACTCCCAAAACGGTGTCGCTGGCATGCAAGGAGCTGGGCTGCGGTGATGGGGGGACCCTGGAAAGACGCCTGCCCTATGGCAAGGTGTCTGGCCACACCTGGCTGGATCATGTGGAGTGTGGGGAGAGAAACAGCTCTTTCTGGCAATGTCCCTCTGATCCCTGGGACCCACAGTCATGCGATGAACTGCGAGACGAGACCCACATCACCTGCACTGGTAACTCTGAGCTACCCAGGCACCAGCATCCCCCCAGCTCCCGCTACCTGCTTGGCACAATCAAACTCAGAGACAGGGCCCGCAGAGGCGTTTCCTTTCCGCGCAAGATGCTTCTGTTGCTAGTAGCAAAAATGGGAGTCCATCTCTCAGAGCCACACAGGTTCACCAGCAGTTGCCAGCCGGGCTCCCAGCTTTGCCTGGACAAGGCAGAGGTGTCTCCAGGCAAGGCCTCTGAAGAGGCCAGCCAGGGCTCTGGGGAGTGTCCCCTCCATGGACACCCTCCTGCTGCCCTGTGAGCCAGGGTCCCTTGAGGTGTGAGCAGCCAGGGTCCCCCACATTGCCATGCGTGTCCCCTGAATGACCAGGGTTCAGCTGCTGCCGCGAGTGAGGTTGCGTGGGGACGTGCGAGTAGAGCTCGGCCACACTCTGCTCTGCAACTCCCCTGCAGCAGGCCCTTCAGGGCAGCATTTCCTTCTGCAGGACAACGGCCAGAAATGCACCCGGCCCTGGGGACCACGTGCCCAGACTCCACAGGCTGCACAGGTAGCTGCTCCTCTGCACGCCCCTCTCGCCTGGCAGGGCTCTGCCTGCTGTCCCAGTGCCCTGGGAGGTCTCTGCCTTCCCCAGACAGGGAGAAGATTCGTGCCGTGGGAGGCGAGAATGGGTGCTCGGGCAGAGTGGAGGTCTGGCACCACGGTTCCTGGGGGACGGTGTGTGATGACACCTGGGACGTGCAGGACGCCGAGGTGGCATGCAGGCAATTGGGCTGTGGCCCTGCGGTGTCTGCCCTGGGTGAGGCTGCATTTGGGGAGGGGACGGGCCCCATCTGGCTGGAGCAGGTGGACTGCCGGGGGACAGAGCCGTCTCTGCAGGACTGCTGGGCCCGGCCCGGGGACAGCGGGGCCTGCCAGCATAAGGAGGATGCTGCCGTGCGCTGCTCAGGTGAGCGGCAGGGCTAGGAGCCCTCTCTGGGGTGTTGGCAAGGAGGCAGGGAAGGCGTTTTCCCCGTTGGGTCCCAACATGGTTCCAGAGCTCCTGAGAGCAAGGCCATCCCTACAGAGCATGGGAGCCTGGCGCCGAGTGGGCAGCAGCTTCTGTGGGGCTGGGTGTCCTCCAGCATCTCCCGGGCTGCCTGTGCCACCCTGCCCATGGCCCAGAGCAGGGCCCTGGGCTCTGTGCTGGCCACCCTGGAGGGCCCCACGGGAGGGGCAGTTTGTGTGGGATGTGTCAGGGCTGCACACACACACGCACACACACACACACACACAGACATACAGAGCGTGTCAGAGGGCAGGCTCTCTGGTACCCTCACACCCACCCTCCCAGCCCTTCTCTCCTCCTCCCCTGCAGCTGCGCCCAGGACAGCAGCACCAACCCCCCGAGCAGGTAACCTGTCCTCTCTGCCAGTGCCGGGTCTTCTCGGGGCAAGCTGTGACCCACAGCTGGAGGGAATGGGCTCCTTGCTGGGGTGTAAACCTCCCAAGAATAGGCATGAGGGTAGCGGTGAGGGTGCTTGGGGAGGGCTGTCATTTGGTCAGCAGCTTGGGAGCTTCCCCATCGCTCACCCCTGGGGTCCCCTTCCCCTGCTGTAATGGGGGTCAGGACTGGCACCCCACCTCTCCCAGGCCTGGTGCTGCCCTTTCTGTGTTCCTGCCATGCAGATCCCACCCGTGGCCATCCGACCAGCAGTGGGAGAGTATCCTTGCCCGTCATCATCTGCATCATCCTGGGAGCCCTTCTCTGCCTGCTCCTGGCCCTCCTGGCCGGGCAAGTGCGAAGCACCAGGGCTGGGCGCAGAGGTGGGTCCTTTCCCCATGGTCCCGGGGGAAGATGCTTCCTGGCAAGGCCATGGGTGCTGTGGGCTGTCAGTGAGTGGTACAGGCAGAGCTGGGAGGACGAGAGTGTGTGCTGCTTGCTGTCCCATGTGCTGCCCCACTGACTGCCTGACCATGGGCCACCAGCAGAAAGAGGTAGAGAGAGACATGGGGGGAGTTAGGCATGGGGCAAGGAGAGAAATGGCAGAGCTGGGCTGGAGCAGATGGGAGCAAAGGGGAGGCAGAGGAGACCATGCCACTGGCAGCACTCTGGAAGGGTCTCTGGGTCAGGGGAGATGCCAGGAGGACCGTGGGGCAGCAGGGTCCATCCCTGGGGTTTCAGGCCCCTAGGCTGTTCCTCCGTCCAACCCTGACCTCCCCCCGGCAGGGCATGGGCTGTGCTATGGATCCATGGGGCAGAGAGGGGGCAGCTCCAGGGGGTAGAGGAAAGGCAGGAGCAGCTCCAAGCTCAGCACCAGTGACCCAACCCAGGGGCCAGAGAGGCACAAGGGCTATCTCTGAGGAGCAGTGCGAGGGTGTCGCTGCCCCAGACCATCTCCATGGGGACATTGCCCTCACTGAGGAGGCGTCAGCAGTGACGGGGCAGTGCAGCAGGGCTCGTGCTGTGGGGACAAACCTGGGGTGACCCAAGGGATCAGGGCTGGGGAGGCAGAGCGGGGTCCCATCCCCTCTCTGCCCATCCCTGGGCCAGCCCTGTTTCTGTCCGCAGGCTCCGAGAGAGCTTGGGAGCCTTTCCCTGAGGCTGTGTATGAGGAGATCGGTTACAGCCCGGCGTGGGAGAAGCAGGCGAGGTTCAGCGGCACGGGTGGGGGTGGGTCCCTCATGGGGGGCAACTCTAATCCCTTGGTCCTTGCCCATGGCTGAACCCTGTGTGCCCTCTGGCCCATGGTCCCTGCAGCACTGGGGCTATGGGGGCTGTGGGGAAAGGAGCCAAGGCCTGGGCCCAGGAGAGAGTCTTCCTCCCCACCAGTCCTGCCTGTCCCAGCTGGGGACAAACTCTGCCGGTCCCTGCACACTATGTGACACCTGAGGGGTGAGGGAAGGTGTTGTCCTGGGGCAGCTCGGGGAGTCCCTTTGAGACAGGGCTTGTCCCAGGGGAGCAGGGTGAGTCCTGAGCCCTCCTCGCCACTCAGCCCTGGCTCTGTGGGTGCCCTGTCCCCAGCAGAACTGACCATAAACCCAGTCAGCAGAGTTCACTCCCATAACACCCGCTGCACCCCTCTCCAGGACCCTATGCAGAGGGGTCCCTCACCAAGCTGCAGCCCTACCCCAGGGACAGTGAGGAAGAGGATGGTCCAGGATCAGCACCAGGTAACGCGGAGCAGGAAGAGGTTGAAGAGGTTGATCTCTCCTCCCTGCAGACATGTGATGGGCAGTGGTGTCACTGAGTGTCACCGTCGGATTTGGGGAGGACATGGGACGTCTCCTGTGCACCACCATGTCCCTGTGCATCCTCCCGTCCTCTGCTATGCAGGATGTTATTTTCTCAGTGTCACCAGCTCCCCTCTCCTTGCAGATGTCCCTGTCCTGCCTGGAGGTGACCCAGCAGATGGCTATGATGATGCCAGAGAGGCTTCTGACCCTGAGGAGGATCCTATGTCTGGGCAGGGAGACTGGGAATTGCCCAGAGTGCCAGAGAAAGGAGCAGGGCCCAGGGATGCACCTGGAGGTGAGAGGGACGGGTAGTGCTGCCGGTTCCTGGGGTGCCATGCCTGGTGCTGGACAAATCACTGCTGTACTGAGCCCAGCCTCCTGGGATGAGGGAACCTGCCCCGGGAGTTTTCTTTGGGGGGACTGGGGATGGGAGAGGGAGCTGAACATCTCGGGACTGGTGAGGAGAAGGGAGGAAGGTGATGCACAGCCCAGGAGGGGCAGCCCATGGGGAAAACGTGCAATGGCCTGCCTTGCTGCTTGCAGGGGCAAACCTGTGCTCCCAGAGAAGTGCTGGGGCCCCTGGAGCTGAAGGAGATGCCTGGTCCCTGTCCCCAGAGAGCACGGGCTACGACGATGCTGGAGAGGTGTCTCTGGCACATCGCCCTGAGGACGCAAAGGCTGTGACACCAGAGCTCAGCGCAGGACAGTCCGAGAGCCCCGGGCCAGGAGAGCCCAGCCCTGCTGTGGGGCTGGGGGCAGCCAGGAGGGAGGAGAGGTCTGTGCAGCTGGGAGAGCCGTGAGCACCAGGGAACTGTCTCCCTTCTCCCACAGGCATCAGAAACAGCCGGGCTTTTCCTCTATTTTTATTCCCCTGTTTTTACGCATGCCTCTGTACTTGTTCTTATTAAAAGCCTTTGGGGGGTTGAGCCAGAGCTAGTGCTTGCCTGCCCGGGTGTCGGGGTGTCTCCCTGAGGCTGATCGGGGGGAGCAGAGCACAAAGACATGGCGGTGGGGAAGGGGCACATCTCGGGCACAGCAGGCTGAGGATGAGGCTGTGGGGCTGTGTGAGCCCCTGGTTCCTGGGAAATATTCC